TGAAGCTTGCTTGGATCTTGACGATGTGAGCAAGGTCACCATCTGATCCCAAGTTGCAGTGTGTTCGGAGCCCAAGAGCCACGAGCATATTGCCTTCTAAACTTCAGCAGAGACATCAACAATAAATATATTCAACAATCTGACCAAAACCCCAATGCCTCATGCGATCACCTGTTCCTAGTCGGTTTTTGATTGCTAACCAAGTGAGAAATGCGTGCTTAGGCGTGTTGTTTGTGAACCACACTCCTTGAGACCAACTCTCAATTGGTTGGGCTGTTCGGATGAGTTGKCATGTGCTTCTCSTTGCYAATCGAGTTTTATAGATAGTGATTGAGCACTTCRATGTCGAAACATCCTTTCCATGCTTGCGCTGCGACTTAAGTTTCTCAACAGTTTCCTCTATCATCTCAAGATAATCAGCTCGATGGCCTCTGCGACGATGGMTTTCAAATACATATGCCATTGTTGACGAAATTGGAATTCCCATATCTATAGTCCCCCGAGGACCAATTATATCATATATTCGACCCAATTGGGACCAATTATCAAACCAAAAGGATGTTGACTCACCATTACAAACCTCAATCTTATGAAAATACTTGAGTATCTTCTTCCACATCCACGATCCTTTGGTAATATTCTCTTTAATCGACCAGAACGAATCTTTCCCTATAAGCATTGTCTTTATCCACTTCAGGACACCCACAACGATGGCTGGCTCCATATAAGCTTCAAACATGTTACTTGATTCAAGTCTTTGAGCAGCGGAAATCCTAATCCGCCTTCTGACTTTGGTCGACAAACATCAATCGAAGCAATTTTCTCCGAGTTCAAAAGTTGCTTGATTGTATCTTCTATTGAATCATTTTTTCAAAGGTTTTGTCTTCTACTGTATCATTTTTTAGATTGAGTTTAAGCAATTTCTAAATAATAATTGTATACCTACCCTCATCACAGATTTACATTTTTTATTTCATCAAAGCGACAAGAATAGACGGATTATATGCGAAAGATGCATAAATCATGGTAACCACCAATTCTATATATAAGAATTCTGCGTTGGACTTTTGGAAATTTCTTCCTTGTTTACAAATATTGCATTAGACAAAGAGAAATATTGCATTAGACAAAGAGAGGCCACATTAGATACACATATGTGGATTAACAATAGAAGCAACTAAAGACAAGACAAGAGAACGTGATGTCTTTTTTTGTAGCTTAGCTTCCGGACTTGAAAGGAATGGCTCTGATGACAATCTGGTGGTATAGAGCAGCAACTGCAGCTCCAATGAATGGTCCAACCC